AGGAGAACCAAAAAAGGAAAGTTGGCAAAGTTATAAGGGATGGAGAGAGTAACAAGCACGGAAAAATTTACCTATTGTCAACCAAAGTGCACTGTGATGATCGGTGGAGAAAACATGATATAATGTATCAATACCAAAAAAATTAATTCCGAAGCAACTTTTCATGGACCGATGATGAAAATCAGCAACTTGCATTTTAGATAAGAAATACACATTCTATGGAAGTAAAGTAGATGATCGATCATAGTTCTTTATGGGGATGGGCAAAGATATCCCGCCCAAAATGGAATAAAAATGGAATGAAAACAGAAAAAGCATATCAATGTGCCTATAAGGCTATAAGCATTAGAAGAAAAACCAGTGTCTAAGAATGATAGCGCACATCCCTAATTGAAGGAAACAACATAGCCATACCTCTAGTTGCCTCAGACTACCCATAGTCTGCGATGTGCCCCCAATTACAAGTGTGTGTGAAGAGATTGGATCTCTTGTTCCTTGCAGCCGTTGCAAAAGCTTCCGACTTAGTTTTCTAGCTTCTGCAGCTCTATTTAAAGCATCTTCAGTTGCCACAAATTGCTGAACATGTGCTTTCTAAAAAAGTTGAACAATAAGAGCAAATATAAAAAAGAGCTTAAACGTTACAAAAAGAGGTGTAGGTATCTACTCTCATTTACTAACATTCACCAAATTTTCATTTTTCACTTTCTGTTTTCCATCCTAACTTTTGATTTTTTGTACTTCACTCCACCACCTTTGACTACTCGCCAAGGATCTCATTGGTAACAGCCTCTCTAACCCTTGGGGTAGAGCCCTAGAGCCTAGAGGTAGTCTCCGTACGTCTCACCCTCCCCATACCTTACTTCCAAGTTGGATGTCCTGGGTTTGTTTGTTTAACTTTCGCTAGCCAATCAGAAAATTAGAAGAAAGGAGCATTTTACTACCACATATTCCGCATTTTTCAAACCCTTTCTTCAGTTTAAAAGGAAAAATGAATCCAACAGCAACTATGAAAGTATAGCCCCCCCATTCACAACATGCTCTTCACCCCATTTGGAAGATATTAAGGAATGTTGATAGATATGTTATGCATCCCTTCATAACATGCCTTCTCCCTTGAGCAACACTATCAAAGTGAAGTGGTGTCATGGTGAAGAAATTAGGTTATAAATAAAGGGGCAGCATACCTGTCTCTCAAGTAGTTGGTTTTTTGTACCCCTAAAAGGGGCATCACCTCCTATTTTTCCATTACCATACAGCTGGTATTGCAATGGCGAGTTTATATCAGGACTTGAAGCATCCATTACTCTGTTATTTTCATACTTGTACCTGATTCAGAAGTCGAAGCAAGAAACATTATATTAGCCCAGCAACAACACAGAGATTCATTGATAAGATTAGTGTAAGAGTAAGTTGTACCATGTTTTGCAGGAGAAAACGAAAAACTGTTTTGACTCATACTACCAAACAAACATCGTTTTATGGAAGCTACATACAACAGTTGGTTCATGCTATCATGTTAAACAGATAAAAAAATCACCTCATACTACCCTTATTAACTTTTTTAGCAGTTACATTGCATCATAAGATTACACTTTCATTGCACAAGTTACAATAAACCTAAATCAAAATAAGACAGAAGACAAATGCTTCCTATGTACCATCAGGTGTTGATTTTGAACAAAGGAAATTTAATAGCGGCAATAACATTTGCACATTTTATTAACACGTAAGTTGATGCTAAATGCAAAAATTGTTTGGATGGACATAATAAAGTCACCTTAGCATTTCTGCATCAGATCTGGGATCAATTTTTTCAATTTCCCTACTAATAAGATTTTTAAGTCTATGAGAGTATGCAGTTATCGCACGAAGCAATTGAGGAGGATTTCTTAAGCAGCATATAATAGCATCCTTAATTTCATCAGGTACATCCCCATCAATACCCAATCTAGCAACCTCTAGATGAGGACTCGAGTGTATTCCATTTCCTTCATAAGCTGGAAAAGCTACACGGATCTTCTCCGCCATCTGCAGTGCAAGAGATTCACAAGCTTTCCTGATATTTCTTTCCCATGTTGTTTCTATAATAATTACATCGTCTGCTGCTTTTGTTCCTTTAACCGTTGAATAAGCAGGCTCTTTTTCATTGTTATGCTGAAAAGTAGAAACCATCTCATCAGACGAATCAGCATGGGACCTTTGAGCATCCCTTGCTTGATTAACATGGTATCCTAGACGATTGTGATACTCTGCAAAAATCTTTGCAGCTTCACTGCATTGTTGATCATAAGCTTCAAGCATCACTTGTTTGTGCCTGCACACCACGTATCAATATCTATTTCAATTACTCCGTGTAAGATCATTTCATTTTTCATTGTTTGATCTATATGACTTAGTGCAAAACCAAAACAAGAATATATTGCAAAAGCAGTAGAACCAAACTACTGATTGCGGGAAAACAAAAAATAAAAAACACAAAGACCAAAACTTTATAAATGCTACAAAAACAAGTTAACAACATGTGATTGGTTTTCATGGCAAACCTGTAATTGGATCTTTCATCAAGCGCTCGTTTGCGCTCAGTCTCCTCTCTTGCAACCTCCATCATCCTGGCTTTCAACTCCTTCCTCTGCTGCCTCACCGTTTGCCTCATCCTCTCAACCTCCTTTTCAGCCAAATCTCTCTCCTGCAAAGCGACCTCTTTACTGTTCTCGGCAGAAACTAATCCCATACTCGAAGGCTCCTTCACTATCCCAGCCTTCTCTTTCCTCCGCCCTCTACTCTTCTCCACCACCTTCCCGGAATCAACACCCGCGCTACTACTGCTACTAATTACAGCTCCATCTCCACCGTGAACAAGAATATTCCGGCGAATTTTGTCAACCGTCTTCTCGGACTTCACCCTCCTCAACAGGAAATTCCACACGGGGATCATATTCCCACGGCAAATCTTCCTGAGAGAATCTGCCGTTGGCATCACTGTTGATTTTGTGGATGCAGTGTATGGACCTAAAGGCCGATAACCCATCTCTTTCTGAAGCCACTCTAAAATTGCCTCCGGTTGGGCCACCGGAGAGTTGGTTGAACTCTGCATTGACACTCTATGACGAAAATGGCAGAAACCAGAGGTTGGAAAAGGTGAGCTTCGGAAGTGGAGTGTAAAAGAGATGCCGTTTTGAAATGCAGGTCGGGTCTGGCTGGCAAGCGATGATATGCTATGATGAATTTGGCCTTCTGTGTTGCAAACTTACGAGTAAAGATTTGAATTGGAATCACATTTTCTCTTCATTTGTTCGTGATATAGTTCAATTTACCCAAATTATTCTTCCGTCGATCTGGAGACTTTCAGGCTTCAAGAATAAGGTGATAATAGTTCAAAAAAAATTCACATTTCTTTTCTCTTCCTTTTTTGTCAAATTATCTACACCAAAATAGTGCAAAACGATTCAAAACAGTGCCAAACAGTGCACTCTACAGTAAAGTCAAATTTATTTCCTTAATTTGTGTGAAGTAAAAGTTTGAATTTCATTTGGGACCGAAGGAAGTAAAAAAACTTGTTAAGACTTCCAATACACTACGTAATCCGGATACAAATTATACTGTTACAAAAATTACTATAAATAAAATATACGGAGTACATGATAAAAAGAGTATGTGTCAAAGTGCAACTATCTATAAAGTTACATTAGTAATATGGTACATGTATAAATAAGATTATACAAAAACATTAAAAAAATTGGCATATCAATTCAAAATAAAAGTGCAAACTTTAATTTACACATTACTTGTAATGATAATTTATTTTTATTTTTGCATGATCATTTCGTAAAAAGTTTAAACTTACATGATATTTCTACCGCTCTCATTTTAAATTTTTATATCAATGCACATACTCTATAAACATTATACTCATGGTATAACATAAACCTCATTCCAATAACTTATTAAATCATATGCATTCTTTGTAAATGTAATTGGGTTGTTTAACTCAATTAGTAGTAGTTTGTGATCGGGAAATATGTTGGAAAATTGGGAGTATTTCAAATGAATATAAATAAATAAAACCTTACTAGTTTTTTATTAATATTTTAAAACATTTTATTTGCTGCTCCTAAGTTGTGCACGTTACAATAGTGTTGGAGTAATGAATTAGTATTATTAAATAAAAATTACTCCTAACGGTTTGAATAGTTAGTACGAGTTGAAGGATTTTTTTCAAACTTTAATTCCAACATTAATCCATATGAACGTGTTACAAACTATTGGTCCTTTGTTGGTCAGTAAATCAGTAATGAGTTTTTTCTTTTGGCCGTTGCAAGCTTTAATCTTTGCTAATGCATATTTAATTATAACCATGCATGACCAACGTTGCTATCTGCTAGACTGCTAGCAACGTACGTTCTTTAATACGGAGTGTATATATGTGTGTGTTTGCTAGTTTTGTGAGACACATAATTTTGAGCTAAACATCCCTTAATAATTTTAGACTGCTGGATTAATATAACTTTTCACTCTCGTTGTTCTGTTATCGGCTTACGCCGAAGAGCTCGTTTTATCTTGGGGAAAGATTTTCGCTAGTCGGAAATACATTCTTGAGGACAACGTTCACGCGACTCGAGCTATATTTTATTTTCTAACGTTTTTTGTAGGTTTATCCGTCAAATTTCCACCAACAAAATATTAAAAAATATTTTATAATTACATAATTTTGTGTTTGTGTTTTATAATGTTCCACCTATACAAATTTCTTTTAAACAATAGTCATTATTATTGTATACTCATTTAATTTTTTCGCAATACTCATTAATAATGGTAATGATGCAGAAGGATAAATAAAGGAATAGTAGTCATTTGGACAAATCCAGTGTTGTCTAGGATTTTGAATTCACCAATTGAATGTGACACTCCCAAGTAGATGGTCACAAATCTGAATCTCATCCAAGTCGCAATTATGTTGACATTTAATATAACATATACTAGTATTATAAATGTGAGAAAGCATGACCCAAAAAAGCGTAGTTAGGAGTTGCACAACGGAGAAAGAAATGACATGAGCAATGAATTTATTTAAATAAAAGAAAATTGAAGTTTATTTTAAGACGAACTAAAATAGAAAGAGTAAAGATATTTATGGAATATATGGAATAAGCTTAAACTGGATTGAAGGGATTTCTTATGTGGTTTGTGTAGAGGGGTTTGTGTGACGATTTCAATATAATAGAAGAGTTTATGTGATGCTTTTCTCAAATTAAATTACATATAGAAGCTTATCAACAACAATAATTAGTATTTAGCATCATTATCCTTTAATTTGGTAGCTCAATCACACAATATTTGCATGTCTCTCACGGACTGTAATCGCAATGACTTTCATTCAACAATGAAATAATATAATGACTATCGGCCCATTGAAATACCTAAACATGTGGATGTTAATTTTATCTCTACTACTTCGTATAATACTACTAGTCATCAATATATTCATGATGAGAATCATATCCTATATACATAAAGGGATAATCATCTCTCAAAAATCAATTTATCTCCCATTTATCCATTAAAACGTTGATTTATACATTAAATACATTGATAAGTTACAATATTTTCCTCTCTCATATCAGCACAATCCAAAATTCTTACTCTCTTTTTATCATCCTTATTTGTTTATTAAACTCAAGTACTATTCATGACTCTCTATTTCATCATGCTAGTGTAATTGTAAGTTTGTCTACCCATATACAACAACATCCAAGCCTTAATCCCAAAATAATTTGGAATCAGCTAACATGAATCGATCTATGATATCGATGCCAAATAGAGAAACAGGCGGGGGAGGAGATAAAACGGATAAAATAAAGATAAATAAATACTCCGTATAAGATAACAATAACATAAGAATATAAGAAAGATAAAAGATAGAAAGATAGAAGAGCATAAAACGCTAGAATATAAAAATAACATAAGAATATAAAAGGATAAAAAAGATAAACGATAAAAGAAAAGAGAGAGGAAATGTAGAAAAGACATCAGTCGTCGGATGTGTGCCCTCCACTTTGCTCTCTCCAAAGTCATACTCTCGTCCAACCCAAAAAGATGCATATCAGTTCTGATTCCTCTAATCCAAGCTAAGTCTGTTTGGGTCTTCCCATCCCTCTCTTCTCTATCTCTTCTCCCCACCCCTCAAGTCGTCTAACAGGTGCATCACTCGGCCTTCTACGCACATGCCCAAACCACCGCAAACGAGAGACTCCGGCATTTTATCTTCTATAGGTGCTACTCCCACCTTTTGTCTGATTATCTCATTCCTCAAGCGGTCTTTTTTTTGTATGTCCACACATCCAACACAACATACATTTAGTTCCATTTTTTTACTTAATGTCATTTAAACTGCCTATAAGTGCCACATTTGAAAATAACACTTTCATTTAATAACCTGGAGATTCTGGTCATTGTGCTCAACCTCTAATCCTCCATTCTCATTCCCATTAGCATCCATGCTACTTTGCTGGTTATTCACCTCATTCTCCTAAGACAAATAAACGTGTTACAGTCATTTTTTAAACAATGAATTACATTTCAAATGAAATTATTCATAATTATCACAACATCTTTCATTTCCAAATCTTTTCCCTTCTCATTGCTTCTTCTGTCATCCGTGTCTTTTACTGTTTCTTCCAAACTGTCATCCACGTCGAAAACAACTTTCTGGTTCTCCTACAACAACCATTACATTCATTAGTATACACGTGAGTTCAAATTTTTTATTTAATGCCATTAAATTGACTTTAAATGCCATATTTAAAAATTAACATGTTCTTTTACCAACCTGGCCATTATGTTCAAGTTGTACGTCCTCATTCTGGCCAACACTCTGCTGGTCACTGACCTTAATGGAATAAGCTTGCTTCTTCTTCTTCGTTGAAATTTTCTTCACAAGAGATAGAATATCCTTTAAAACCGCTCCTTGTTTCTTAAAAACTGCATACTGTTTATTTTGCTTTTTTTTTAATTTCTTTTAGCTCTTCAAGTATCATGGTCGTCTGCTTGGAGTCCTTGGCTATTTTTTTCCTAGACCTGTGCACGTGTTCATCTTCGTCTGAGCTGGAATCTTCATTATCATTCAAATTTCCCCCCTTTTTTCTCAACACTCTCTTACTACACTCTCATTTCTCATATTTGCTTTCAGATTTCTTATTTCTTTCACTTTTTCTGTTGGCTCTGCCATCTATCATCCTTTCTATTTCTTTCTCCTTTCCTTTTCTTTTTCTTTATTCTTTTTCTTCTTCTTTCCTAGTCCTCTATCTCCATCAATTCTTAATTCAGGAAATGCTTCACTTCTTTCTGTTCCCTGAAGCCCTTCAATGCATTTTTTTCTCTTCTTCCTTGGAATCATTCTTGTCCACTCAAACTGCCACAATTAAAGCAACATTTAACTTTAACAAGTTAGTATATTATATTTAAATTACATATTTATGTATGTATACACATAATTGTTTTGATGAAATATAATTGCATTTACCTCGGTATTGTTGAAGATGACCTCACAGAACTTTTCTATGGAAGGCTTTTTGTGAAAAGACCATCTTAGAGTTTGGGGTATTTGATCTTCTTTTCCCTCTATTTTGCTACACAGTCCTGCACTTGCCAAGCTTGGAAAAGTTTCAAAATCCCAAATCGGTATCGCTTGCATACAACCTGGCAAAGCAACCCTTTTTCATGTGCATATTTTCAATGCTTGAGCACTGTTTTTCATATTTGCCACAAGGTCACTCCAAACATCCTCTCCTCAGGGGTAAGAATTGAAAGCATTCAGATCTTCTGCTAAATTAATATACTTCCCCGGGATACGATGTGAGTACTGATTACCTAAGAAGCCATGCGCTATGACATACAACAATGCTAGTTTAGTGCCATCTTCCTTCTTTGTCCCTGGATACTCAGAATTGTACTCGTCCATTGCATGGATAATATCTTGAATAACTAATATCTTCTTACTGCCAAAGTATCTTCAGCACAAATCCCCTCCTGGTACGTCTAGAACAGTAGGTATATCTCCACCTATCTTAAAGCTAGTGACAAGTGCTAAATCATCTTTTGTGAAGCCAATGACATTGTTTCCTATGTGAGACCTTATTATATTCTTTTCACTTGTGCCATTAAACTCCTCTATGTAGTTTTCTACAAAGCATATGCACAATTGTCCGCTTATTCTTGGCATTTTTTCAATGTCTAGGATCCAACCAAAAACAGACTCTCTAAATTGTTCGAGTTCTATTACATTTAGTTTTGTCTTAATGCGTGTTGAGTTTTTGTCCCGTAGATCCGGAAGCTCAACATAAACTTCGGATATTAAGGACGATGGATTCAGTATAAATGTAAATAATAAATATATAAAAGTGTATGAACTAGCTATTTTTACGTGGAAACCCAGAAAGGGAAAAAACCACGGGACTTTTTAGGCTAACATCCGAGCCTCCTCTTTTTTATTAATATGCTCACCTCACCAATTACATAATACAAATATCTCCCACCATTAATGGAGTTTGCTAAGCTTTAAGGAAAAGAAGAAGCAGTAAGGGGGGAAGAAGAGCCAAAGATCCCCCGTACGAACAATCCATGTTACTGAACGTCGCTCGGTTCGTCCATACTTATAGTTTTGACACCATCTCCAAGCCGTTTTGATCCCTTTATCCGTTCGTAAGTACAAGGTCAAATTTTGTTAGCTGAGATGATGGCTCCCTCCAAACTGCTAACATGTTCCTCATTCGGTCGTCCGGAACGATTTCCATGTTAAGCGCTGAGGTGAGACTCTCAGATCAATGTTAACGTTCGGTTCTTCTATACTAGCGCGCGGTCAAAGTGACATTCGGGGAGCCCTGAATTCCTTGTCTCTCTCTTTTCTTTTCTTTTCTTTTATTTATTTATTTTTTTTAATATAGGGACTCTCAATGATGATCACATTGTGCCAGGGTGGCCGATTGTGAAGGTATAGAAGTTGTCAATGATGACCCGAACAATAAGTCTCCCTCCGTGGAGTATGGAGTTGACAACCGCTTAGGTGAGACTCTCAATGATGATCACGTCGTACCGGGGTGGCCGATCGTAATTAAGAATATCCGAGGGTCTTGCAGGCGCCCCCTGCCCGTGATACGATGGCGTTGAGGGGCCGATCGTACTGCATAAGACGGTCATCCTCCCTCTGTAAAGGCGTGGGAGGATCTGACCATGATCAAGGATATCCGAGGGTCTTGCAGGCGCCCTCTGCCCGTGATACGATGGCGCTGAGGGGTCGATCATACTGTATAAGACGGTGGTCCTTCCCCTGTAAAGGCATGGGCGGAACCCACCGTGGTCAGGAATGTCCGAGGGTCTTGCAGGCGCCCTCTGCCCATAGTACTCTGCTCTAGGTGCCGAACGACGAACGCCGGATTGCCAGTCATGGAGCGTGATCTGAAAGCTCGTGCATCGTACATCCCGTAGGACTTCTCTCCATGTGTCGCGATATCTACACCCTTGTAATCTCTTCTTTTCTTGATCGGCCATGAATGTCTCTGTGCATCAAGCTGAACATCATCTATCTTCATTCTCGGGAGTCTCGAACGGCTCCGAACGGTATCTCGTAGGACTGCTCTCCTGGTATCTCTCTCCTTTTTTTTCATGAACATCTTTTTGTGCTTCATTCCGAACGTTACCGGTCTCCCCGATCAAATCTACCGAACGGCTTTGAATGTAAATATTCCTTCTTTTTGTTGCCAGTTATGAACGTCTTTTTGCTTCATACCGAGCATCATGAACATCTCTGTGTCTCATGATCTCCTCGTCCGAGAATATCGAACGAATTTCACTGCACAATAAGCATGGTAATACGGCCGCACGGCCGAACAACATATACAAGCATATATACTGTATACATACAATGTACATGTATAACATTTTTTCTCTTTAATTCATGACTACATGCCGAAGTGGTATAATAACCCTTGGAATAGATTCATTTTTCGCACTGCTCAGGTGCCATCAGAACCACTTAGTGGTTTGCTGGGCGTTCTTAGAAAAACCCTAGCTAATCAAAGTACGTACTGCCGATCGGGACCATGGATGATCCTCATAATTAAAATTACGTTATCGAGCAACGTCTTTTGCGAGATGCTTTCAGTCAGCTAATTTGAGCCGATGGGGTGTAGATCCACACGCCTACTCAAAGCAAGCATTTAATTAAAACGTTGGTGATCTTATTTATAAAGCCCCATTCAGCATTATTTTATTCGGGATTTTTTAACCCCTATTAAGTAATAGTGTGGTGCAATTAATAGTAAGAATACTATTTAATCAACCAATGGATGCTCTAATGCATGAGTACTTGGTGCGTTGTCGCCTGTCGGAGTGATACCATTCGGTGCACTCCGATCGCTTACATTCAGCCGATCGCGGGTTGGTCGGTCGGCCCATTACAGTAAATCATTTAATTTTAAATGATAATGGACTTGTCACTGGAGCCTCGCCCAGTCATTATTCAATTCGGGATATTTTAATCCCTAATAAATAATGATGATAACAAACATTCCTAATAATGCTATTTGACATTAATCCGTAATTGAAAGTTGGGTACTTAGCTGAATAAGGCTGAATTTCAGCTGTCAGACCAAGTTATTGATCCGGAGAATTGAATTGGGCCCCGATCCTCTTCAACAATTACTGGCACAGTCTCCAACGTGAAGGAGCTTCTAGGCTTCAATCTGGCCCACATTACTTGTCCTTTGTCGGTGGCCCAAAGCTCTTCCCAAGTTTACATGCTTCAGCCGATTGGGATTTCCAAAGATAGTTCGAGCTCTCCCGTTCTTCTTGGGGGCGTCGCACAAAGCCAAGCCTAGATTCATTGCTGGGCTGAGGAGGTTCCTTTCGGTGACTTGCCGGATGGGAAATTTGGGACGGCCAAGAAGGTCTCGAGCTGCAGTCCTGTCGGTCGGGAGCTGCGAATCCGGACAGGGAAAACAGGTGGCGGTTTGGGATGAGCGGCTAGATCGAGCGGCCGTTTAACTCCCTCACAGAGCAGGAAACTACTGGTCCTTTGAGAACCGGACGGGTTGGTGCATTGGATTGGGCAAAAGATGTTGGATGGCGATGTGTCGGTCGGTGTAGTACCGAACGGGAACATGTCGGACGTTGGTGTGCTGGACGTGAAGATGTCGGTCGGTGTAGTACCAAACGGGAACATGCCGAACGTTGGTGTGCCGGACGTGAAGATGTCAGACGGTGCAGTGTCAATTCGCTCTTGCAACTCAAACCCACTCGCCTGGAAAATTTTAACATACCCAGCAGCAAACTCATTCTGGTAGGCAGAGAGAGATCTTGGAGCGAGCAACGAGTAAAAACTTCCTCGGTGAAGGTTTGGCCTCAACAGTGATTTGTTATTTCTATTTGGACAAGGCGGCGATGTGCCGGTCGGTATTCTGCCGTTGATGGGCAAGCCTTCCATGGTGTTTGTCCAGAGACAAGGTGGCGGTTTGAACAGCTGGGTGGCAGCTAGAATAGAACCGGACATCACTATATAATTGATAGGTTGTTCTGTGGAGATGACCCGCGAGCCCCTGTTGGCGACGTGCCGCAGGCAAATTCCCTTATCGGCACTTTTTGATGGCCCTATACGGCGCCTTGGCCAATTGGGCGAGCCGCTCGGTGTGTAGCATGTTTCTGAAGATCTCTCGTTCGGCAGAAGAGGTTCTTGTTTGCAGTTTCACTTTCAGTGTTGGTGGGCTACCTGCTCCTGGTTTCCCTTGGCAATGTACGGAGTTGTATTTTGGCCGAGTAATGCGAGGCCCGTCCCGCTCGGTAAACGTGGCTGCGGCTCGGTACTTGGGAACTGTCGGAAGGGGCCTTATTTTCCGGGAATATCCCTCTGCAGAATCCTCGTTCGATGAATCTACGGCCAGGACTTCTTGCCGGTTCATGGCCCGAACGGCATTCTCACCAGGACTTTATCTTGATCATTTCGTGCTCGAACTGTGTCCTTGCGAAGACCCTATGCCGACCGGTAATCCCGTTCGGGACAGCTACCTTAAAATGGGTTATTACTTTTGTTTAATTGTTTTAAAATGGATGGATTCTAGGCGTGTGAAGTCCAGTATAGGCCTGTCAAGTGTCTGCCACCTGTAGCCCTCACGTGGGAGGAAAGGACTAATGCAAGTGGGTGAAGTCTTTGGAATTGTGCATCCTGCCGCCAGTTTTGGGACGGTGTTGCTAACACCTCTTCTACCCCTAGTGCAGCAGCATCAGTTTTCTATGAACAAGGACCTTCCGGCTCGGTTGATAGGGGCCACCACGGACGGTGGAGGCGGCTGCGCTTCAGGTCTAGCAACCGGCCGAGATTTCCCCATTCTTCAGGTCACTTTTCTTCCCTTTTCTCTCAAAACCAGTCCATCTTGTATGAATTTTGTGGAAATGCCAAGAACACATGTATCTTTTTGATCAAGTTTCTCAGAGACGGCGCCAATGTTGAGTTTTTGTCTCGTAGATCCGGAAGCCCAACACTATTTATAGAGGCAAGGGGATGGCTTTCTAGCCTCATGAGCCTAACGGGCCGAAACCGCCCCAAGTAGGTCGAGTGGGCCCAAATGGCTCTAAATGGGGCCTCGCCAACTGGGGTCCATACCGGGTGAAGCCTTGGGCCTCTGAACAGTAACAGGCTGAGGTAGTATACCCCAACACAAATCCACCAGTTTCTTGAGTAGTGAGCTTGCAAATCTACTCGAGAAAGTATACTCTTGATCACGTCCTTTCATGCCATACCTGAATCAGTCTTTGAATAATCTTGGGCGCAAGGCATGCATAATCCATAAGTGAGGTGCAATCTCGGCCTAGGCACGACGGCGCTGTAGAGCCAGCCGCTTGTGCTGCATAGAAGTGACGATCGCCATCCTAGATTGAGGATCGACGAGCCCGATCAAAAGAATGCACGACGGCGTTGATGAGCCAACCGTTCGTGCTGCATAAAGCGGCGGTCGCCATCCTAGATCAAGGATGGATGAGCCCGACCGAGTGCCCGACATGACGGTGTTGTGGAGCCCGTTCGTGCTGCATAAAAGCGTCGGTCGCCATCCTAGATCAAGGATGGACTAGCCCGACCGAGAGTCAGGCACGACGGTGCTGTGGAGCCCGTTCATACTGCATAAAAGCGTCGGTCGCCATCCTAGATCAAGGATGGACGAGCCCGACCGAGAGCCCGGCACGACGATGTTGTGGAGCTCGTTCATGCTACATAAAGCGGCGGTCGTCATCCTAGATCAAGGATGGACGAGTCCTGACCGAGAGCCAGACATGACGGTGTTGTGGAGCCCGTTCGTGCTGCATAAAGCGGCGGTCGTCATCATAGATCAAGGATGGATGAGCCCGACCGAGAGTCAGGCACGACGGTGCTGTGGAGCCCGTTCCTGCTGCATAAAGCGGCGATCGTCATCCTATATCAAGGATGGACGAGCCTGACCGAGAGTCGGGCACGACGGTGCTGTGGAGCCCGTTCGTGCTGCATAAAGCGGCGGTCGTCATCCTAGATCAAGGATGGACGAGTCCGACCGAGAGTCAGGCACGACGGTGATGTGGAGCCCATTCGTGCTGCATAAAAGCGGCGGTCGTCATCCTAGATCAAGGATGGATGAGCCCAACTGGGAAAACAAGTCACGATGGCGCTGAGGGGCTGATCGTGCTGCATAAGATGAACCTTGCTGTGATATGGACTTACACTGCCATGGTCATTGCCATGGTCCTTACGTGGCCATCGTCGGTTGTGATATGGACTTACACTGCCATGGTCATTGCCATGGTCCTTACGTGGCCATCGTTGAATACGAACTAGACACGAACCTGACTCAACTTTGACAGACGTGGACTCGACTCGACTCGACAAACATGGACTCGACTCGACATCCTCCAAACCCATAGTTCTGATGATTCAGGCCACCCATACTAAAGACAGAAGGATATTTGTATGGAGCATGTACCTACAGAAGATCAGCTAGCGGATATCTTAACCAAGCCTTTACCAGAGGCTTGGTAAGAACTAAGGGAAGAACTGGGAATGATGGATGATCTTCCCAGAGATGCATGAACCAAAATTGTTGTGGACTAGAACTGTCGTCTGGATCAGAAAACCCTACACCAGAATACCCCTTATCTGATCACCAGAGCACCCCTCATCAGAGAACCTCCTTCTCTGATACAGGGATCCTTATCTGTAATCCATCAGAGATCCATGTGGACTTGATTATTTTTCGAGGAACGGGCAAGACCTTTTAACTTGAACATGTCTTTTACCAGAATACCCCTGATTATTATGTCGTTAACGGAAATGTTTTCCGCCCGCATTTCTTTAAATGATACCTCGAAACCGTAAATAATCCCAAACATCCACTAATCCAAAACCATTTATATTCATCTCCTTCAACCTAAACCGCTACTGTTATTTCTCTCTCTAAACGTACTACCTTCAAAAATCCCCCAATCTCCATAATCTCTCAGAAATCCTTCTGAAAATGAACTTCATCAACATCAACGATCTCACCAAGGAAGAAGCCAAGACCATTGTGGCCAATGTGGTTACCGGGATGAAGGTTGATTTTTCTGCACTACCACTACTCACAGAGAATCAGAAAAGAATGGCGAAAATCATCCAAGGGATGAATGAATCCCAGCTGAGCAAGATTGTTGCTCATCCATATGAAGAGTTCAGCACCAGGGATGTGGCTGAATTCTATCTGAACGCCACCATCACCAAAAGCGGAGTTCACTCCAACGTGCACGGAAAGAGCATCTCACTCAATGCCGATGCTCTGAACGAATTCTTTGGAGTCCAACTGGACTCTCAAGACCCTGAGACTCCCACTCTCATTGACCCAGAGTCAGTGGAGGTCTCAGTTGAAGCATTTGCCCAGACCTACTGCCGCCCTGAGGCCGCCAATCTGGACAGACTTTTCATGAAGAAGTTTCTGCTGAAAAAGGACTTCGAAAAGTTGGTTGTCATTCTGCACAGGAGCTTGTGGTGCAAAACTGGCTCAACTGATGAAATCAACAAGGCCAACTGCAAAGCTATCTTTGCTGTTCATCATGGGATGAACATAAACTGGGGTGAGGTAATCTTCGGTTCTCTGACTGAATTCATCAAGAAGAAGGATCAGAAAATTGGCCTCTTCTCAACAAAGATGGGCCATGGCTTCCTTCTGTCTGCCATCCTCACTGCCCATGGAGTTCAACTCAGGGACCCTTCCCCAGTTGATCACTCCAAAACCCTGTTCCTAACTGCATCCCCCAAGCTGAACATAGCCATCTCTGCTGAACTGAAGAGAGAAGAAAGGCTGGAGAAGAAAAGGGAACAACAGGCTGTCAAACCTAAACCTGCTGCCAAGAAGAGCATTAAGAAGCCCTCTGTGACTTCTGAACAGCCTGAGCAATCCCAGATTGCAAGGGATGTAAGGAAGAAGAAGAAGAACGATAGATGCACTCTATCAGAAGTGGATGCACCAGAGTTGGGCGCATCAGAGTTGGCTCCCCCAAAATCTGTCAGAAACTCTCCTGCAAAGAAGCGGAAGTTGAAAAGGAGAAGGAAGCAAGTTGTTCAGAGTGAGGACTCTGACAATTCTGGTCTGAAACCTTTGAAGAAAAAGAAGAAGAAAACAACCCCACCTGCAAGGAAATCAGAAACTCAGGGGGAACCTGAACTTGTTGCACAACCCTCCTCTGCACCAGACTTGGATTTCACTGCAGATTTATCAGAACCCCAACACATATCTGACGGACAACCAGAGACTGATTACAACATCATTCTTCAAAAGTAATTTGAAAGGGTTCTGACCTGGAGAAGATGGAGAATGGGGCCTCTTCAGAAGATCATTCAGTATTTTGACTGTTTTGAAGCAGAAGAAGCTGTTGTCTTACACTGGGTAGGCACAGAAGATGTGTCTCAATGCTTCAACCTTGCCTTTCTCATCTCTGTCCTACAGAAGAAGAAAGAAAAACATCAAGGTAAAGCACCTATGACTGCCCTATCTCCTGAAAGGCATGTCAAAGCTCTGGAGGAACATGAGATGGAAGAATTTGATGTATGGCTAATGGAGAAGAAAAGAAAGGAATCTCTCATCAAGTTTCGCCACAGTGCTCGTGAGGAAGGAGAACCCTCCACAGCCAATGATGTTCCTCTCACCATGGAAAAGCTGGTCAAGGAATGGAGAGAATCCCTGTTCTCTGAAACTGTTCTTGAGGTAATTCCTACACCCCCTCCTTCCCCTCCCAAATCTCCTTTTACTCAATCACCTTCAGAACCTTCAACCCCACTCAAACAGAAAACCCCATCCCCTCAGAAAACCTCCTCTCCCCCACCATCCCCCATCAGAAATCCTACACCTCAGGAGATCAAATCAAGGTCTCCATCACCCTGCAAGCAACCCTCACCTCCTAGAAACCGGTCACCCTCACCACCACCCTCTCCCAAACCTCTAAAATCTGTCACTCCTCAGAACCCCTCTCCTCAGAACTCTCACCATCAGAACTCTCCCCATCAGAAAACCCCCTCACATCAGAGTTTACCTCCACAGCAGCAACACCTTTCGATCACCAGAGCTGCTACACCCCCACTCTCTCCTCAGCTCTCTGTAGCCTCAACACCCAAGAGAGAGATTCCCATTCGCATTCTGTCCTCAGATGCTGACAATGATGGGTTCCTCACATCCTCTCTTGCGGCAGATTTCACATCCAAGAGGAGGCAGACCCCTCCCAGGGATCAATCTGCTGAACCCACTGGCAATACTGCTCCATTCCCCAAGGGAAGAGGTTTGGAGATGCCTGGGTTTGCTCCAGAAGCCCCTCAGATGGACTTCAATCATTTTGTACAGTCTGCAGAAGAGTTTGGTGGTCAGATGCTAGACAACATGAACAAGCTCATCGTCATCAATGACAAACACTATGAGCATCTGACACACACCAACATCCATCTTAATCAGGGCCTTTAGCAACTGTCAGAAAAGCTTGACACTCTGACAGAGTCCCTGCACATCTTCATGAACTCATCCAACAAGAAGATTGACACAATCTCCAGAGAAGTAGATGGAATTAACTCTTTCCTCTACTTTCACTCTCAATCAATGAATAGTCAGAATCAGAAACTACAGGAGATCGCTGAAGCCATTGACATTCTGCAATGGAATGCTGATCAAGTCTCAGAGCGCTTCATGGAGATAGGAAATATGTGTACAGAACACAAAGCGCAGGCCTTAGATATTCTTCACAAGGACAAGGAGCGTTACCAGAAGTTGGTACTCCTTGAAGCAAGTATACAGAGTATCCAGTCTACCATGGAAAGACAACAGAACCTGATTGAAGGTCTGGCCTCTGTTACCCAGACTCTGCCAGAAGCTCTGGATGAGATCAGAGATGCCCAAGCATCAGAATTCTCAAAGATTGAACTCCTCCTTGGCGATCTTGTTGATGCCAAAAAGGGGGAAGACACCAGAGAAGAAGAAGGTCCAAGCTCCAGAACCTTATCTATCAGAGGACCCTCATCATATGTTGACCCTGCTCCTTACTTCGAAGCTGCCAAAAAGAAAAAGCAAGCTAATGCAGGCACCAGACCTCCTCCTCCACCTCCCAGAAGTTCTAAGAAGAAGTCCTCCAACTTTACCTTCAATGAATGGATGAAGAGTGAGATGTCTAAGCCTGACAGAGCCCAATTTACACAGATGAAGAAGCTGATGACTCCACTGCAACAAGAGAATTTGTTTATGGATAGTGATGGACTCGTCCAAATCAATCATGGTGGATCAATTCAAGAAGCTGAGATCTGGTGGCAGATGAGAGTTCTATCTGGCAAGAACATTTCAGAAGCAATCAGAAATTACTTAGATTGCAAGCTTGCACCTCATTGGGCAGACTATCAGAATCCGAGGGACTCCATCAGAGCAAAGGTCAATGCAGAGCTTGAAAGGATTGACAAAGCAGGACCTCAGGTAGATGAAGATGAATCCTAAATTTTATCTATCTCTGATTATGTATCTAACCATCTGATAATAAGATACCATCTCTGCCTCTAGTTTGCATGGCATCTTAAATTATCTGTTCTTACTTACTTTCTGTGAATTCCTTGTGCTTGCTCTGGTTCTTTTTGTCCTTGGAACTTGTTCCTAGACCTCAACATCAAAATGTCATTGGAACCATCCGGCGTAAATGTGTTGATCACGTGTTTGATCAACAAGGATCAGCAAGTTCCAATGACACTTGTCATTTAGATTTGTTTCATTTTGTCATTTTGTCATTGGAACCATTCCTTGTGCTTTCAGATCACGCTCCATGACTGGCAATCCGGCGTCCGTCATTCGGCACCTAGAGCATCGTGCATCGTACATCCCGTAGGACTTCTCTCCATGTGTCGCGATATCTACACCCTTGTAGTCTCTTCTTTTCTTGATCGGCCATGAATGTCTCTGTGCATCAAGCTGAACATCATCTATCTTCATTCTCGGGAATCTCGAACGGCTCCGAACGGTATCTCGTAGGACTGCTCTCCTGGTATCTCTCTCGTTTTTTTCATGAACATCTTTTTGTGCTTCATTCCGAACGTTACCGGTCTCCCCGATCAAATCTACCGAACGTCTTTGAATGTAAATATTCCTTCTTTTTGTTGCCAGTTATGAACGTCTTTTTGCTTCATAGCGAGCATCATGAACATCTCTGTGTCTCATGATCTCCTCGTCCGAGAATATCGAACGAATTTCACTGCACAATAAGCATGGTAATACGGCCGCACGGCCGAACAACATATACAAGCATATATACTGTATACATACAATGTACATGTATAACATTTTTTCTCTTTAATTCATGACTACATGCCGAAGTGGTATAATAACCCTTGGACTAGATTCATTTTTCGCACTGCTCAGGTGCCATCAGAACCACTTAGTGGTTTGCTGGGCGTTCTTAGAAAAACCCTAGCTAATCAAAGTACGTACTGCCGATCGGGACCATGGATGATCCTCATAATTAAAATTACGTTATCGAGCAACATCTTTTGCGAGACGCTTTCAGTCAGCTAATTTGAGCCGATGGGGTGTAGATCCACACGCCTACTCAAAGCAAGCATTTAATTAAAACGTTGGTGATCTTATTTATAAAGCCTCATTCAACATTATTTTATTCGGGATTTTTAACCCCTATTAAGTAATAGTGTGGTGCAATTAATAGTAAGAATACTATTTAATCAACCAATGGATGCTCTAATGCATGAGTACTTGGTGCGTTGTCGCCTGTCGGAGTGATACCATTCGGTGCACTCCGATCGCTTACATTCAGCCGATCGCGGGTTGGTCGGTCGGCCCATTACAGTAAATCATTTAATTTTAAATGATAATGGACTTGTCACTGGAGCCTCGCTCAGTCATTATTCAATTCGGGATATTTTAATCCCTAATAAATAATGATGATAACAAACATTCCTAATAATGCTATTTGACATTAATCCGTAATTGAAAGTTGGGTACTTAGCTGAATAAGGCTGAATTTCAGCTGTCAGACCAAGTTATTGATCCGGAGAATTGAATTGGGCCCCAATCCTCTTCAACAATTACTGGCCCAGTCTCCAACGTGAGGGAGCTTCTGGGCTTCAATCTGGCCCACGTTACATGTCCTTTGTCGGTGGCCCAAAGCTCTTCCCAAGTTTACATGCTTCAGCCGATTGGGATTTCCAAAGATAGTTCGAGCTCTCCCGTTCTTCTTGGGGGCGTCGCACAAAGCCAAGCCTAGATTCATTGCTGGGTTGAGGAGGTTCCTTTCGGTGACTTGCCGGATGGGAAATTTGGGACGGCCAAGAATGTCTCGAGCTGCAGTCCTGCCGGTCGGTAGCTGCGAATCCGGACAAGGAAAACATGTGGCGGTTTGGGATGAGCGGCTAGATCGAGCGGCCGTTTAACTCCCTCACAGAGCAAGAAACTACTGGTCCTTTGAGAACCGGACGGCTTGGTGCGTTGGATTGGGCAAAAGATGTTGGATGGCGATGTGGCGGTCGGTGTAGTACCGAACGGGAACATGCCGGACGTTGGTGTGCCGGACGTGAAGATGTCGGTCGGTGTAGTACCAAACGGGAACATGCCGAACGTTGGTGTGCCGGACGTGAAGATGTCAGACGGTGCAGTGTCAATTCGCTCTTGCAACTCAAACCCACTTGCCTGGAAAATTTTAACATACCCAACAGCAAACTCATTCTGGTAGGCAGAGAGAGATCTTGGAGCGAGCAACGAGCAAAAACTTCCTCGGTGAAGGTTTTGCCTCAACAGTGATTTGTTATTTATATTTGGACAAGGCGGCGATGTGCCGGTCGGTATTCTGCCGTTGATGGGCAAACCTTCCATGGTGTTTGTCCAGAGACAAGGTGGCGGTTTGAGCAGCTGGGTGGCAGCTAGAATAGAACCAGACATCATTATATAATTGATAGGTTGTTCTGTGGAGATGACCCGCGAGCCCCTGTTGGCGACGTGCTGCAGGCAAATTCCCTTATCGGCACTTTTTGATGGCCCTATACGGCGCCTTGGCCAATTGGGCGAGCCGCTCGGTGTGTAGCATGTTTCTGAAGATCTCTCGTTCGACAGAAGAGGTTCTTGTTTGAAGTTTCACTTTCAGTGTTGGTGGGCTACCTGCTACTGGTTTCCCTTGGCAATGTACGGAGTTTTATTTTGGCCGAGTAATGCGAGGCCCGTCCCACTCGGTAAACGTGGCTGCGGCTCGGTACTTGGGAACTGTCGGAAGGGGCCTTATTTTCTCGGAATATCCCTCTGCAGAATCCTCGTTCGATGAATCTACGGCCAGGACTTCTTGCCGGTTCATGCCCCGAACGACATTCTCACCAGGACTTTATCTTGATCATTTCGTGCTCGAACTGTGTCCTTGCGAAGACCCTATGCCGACCGGTAATCCTGTTCGGGACAGCTACCTTAAAATGGCTTATTACTTTTGTTTAATTGTTTTAAAAGGGATGGATTCTAGGCGTGTCAAGTCCAGTCTAGGCCTGTCAAGTGTCTGCCACCTGTAGCCCTCACGTGGGAGGAAAGGACTAGTGCAAGTGTGTGAAGTCTTTGGAATTGTGCATCCTGCCGCCAGTTTTGGGACAGTGTTGCTAACACCTCTTCTACCCCTAGTGCAGCAGCATCAGTTTTCTATGAACAAGGACCTTCCGGCTCGGTTGATAGGGGCCACCACGGGCGGTGGAGGCGGCTGCGCTTCAAATCTAGCAACCGGCCGAGATTTCCCCATTCTTCAGGTCACTTTTCTTCCCTTTTCTCTCAAAACCAGTCCATCTTGTATGAATTTTGTGGAAATGCCAAGAACACATGTATCTTTTTTATCAAGTTTCTCAGAGACGGCGCCAATGTTGAGTTTTTGTCTCGTAGATCCGGAAGCCCAACACTATTTATAGAGGCAAGGGGATGGCTTTCTAGCCTCATGGGCCTAACGTGCCGAAACCGCCCCAAGTAGGTCGAGTGGGCCCAAATGGCTCTAAATGGGGCCTCGCCAACTGGGGTCCATACCGGGTGAAGCCTTGAGCCTCTGAACAGTAACAGGCTGAGGTAGTATACCCCAACACAAATCCACCGGTTTCTTGAGTAGTGAGCTTGCAAATCTACTCGAGAAAGTATACTCTTGATCACGTCCTTTCATGCCATACCTGAATCAGTCTTTGAATAATCTTGGGCGCAAGGCATGCATAATCCATAAGTGAGGTGCAATCTCGGCCTAGACACGACGGCGTTGTAGAGCCAGCCGCTTGTGCTGCATAGAAGTGACGATCGCCATCCTAGATTGAGGATCGACGAGCCCGATCAAAAGAAGGCACAACGGCGTTGATGAGCCAGCTGTTCGTGCTGCATAAAGCGGCGGTCGCCATCCTAGATCAAGGATGGATGAGCCCGATCGAGAGCCCGACATGACGGTGTTGTGGAGCCCGTTCGTGCTGCATAAAAGCGTCGGTCGTCATCCTAGATCAAGGATGGACTAGCCCGACCGAGAAGACTCTTTTATAGAAGACTCTTTCCGGCCGCTGTCATTTGAGGCGGTTCCCGGTGGAATTGTTTGATGAATTTTTTTGAGCATCTTATTCATCAAGTCTAGTTTACTCATACCAAATTTCAGCTAAAAATTCAATCGGGAAGGCAGTCAAATGAATTTTTGAAGATAACTGCGCAGTTAGACAACGCAGTATATTTCAGAAAATTATTTGACTGCCTCCTCGATTGAATTTTTAACTGAAATTTGGTATGGGTAAACTAGACTTGATGAAGAAGATGCTCAAAAAAATCTTCAAAAAATTCCACCGGAAACCACCTCAAATGGCGACGACCGGATAGAGCCTCCTATAAAAAGGCTGATTTGCAATTTTTATGTAAGTTCGAGGGCTTATTTGGTAGTTCTCCCAAAAATGTATCAAAAATGGAAAAAATAGTCATCGACGCCAAATTCAACCAAAAAGGTAACTCCAGCCTTTCTTATTTTGATAATCATACAATCAATTGCGCAAAATCAAAAGTTATGGATTTGATTAAAATAGTGGTTACCAAAAGGGCCTTGCAATTGCATGCTTTATTGAATGATTTTGACCCAAACCTGGCCTGATATTAAGTTACAGAGTTGTGCCATGATTTTGTGAATAATTGCATGCATAATCACAAGTCACAACAATGCATAACTTTGTTGGCATTATTATTAGGTTGAACAATGTACAGTGAGATAATGATGGGAATGCCAACTTCGAAATTCTAATGAAAATGAAGCAAGAAATATATTGTGGACAACAAATAACTTCACCGAAGGCATTCAGGCTGCTTGAAAGGCCTTCAAGAAAGTTTCTGGAGCTTGACCACCGCTTAGCTGCTGTTTCCCATTAATCTACCAAAAATTTATATGTTAACCGCATATATATGACTATGAGTGTGCTAATTAAGTGACATACTGATAGCTTAACATACCACAAAGTGTGGGACTCCACTTATGTTGGCTGAATACTGCTTAAGTTCTTCATTGACCTTTGAGTTATTTACAAATTATTAGCAAGTGAATGGTCAAATGGATATAGGATTTCTCGCACCAGCTAAGAAGCATATTACCTCCTTCAGACCATTGTGCGGATCCTCGAGATACTCCGCTGCTCCTTCAATACCAACCTTCTTAGCAGCTTCTACAAGAAACTCCCTTGAAAATACACGCAAATAGACATTATACAAAAACATATCTTTGAGATTCTTTAAAGTTGTTTTTGGCTGAAAAATAAAGTAAAATACATTTTTTTTTATATTTTCAGATGCTATTTTCTCTATTAGTTTTTGGCTGAGATGATACAGCCTCTGTCTTACTCAACTTTGCCATTTACGATTTACAATAATTGACTGGTAAGTGGTAATAAAGTTAGTTCTTGAAAATATTTAAATTAACATCAATATTTAAAATATTGAAGCACAACACTAAGGGGCTGTTTACTTAGGACTTGATGGACTTGATGGAATTGATGACTTAACCATTCATTCATTAATCGGTGTTTACTTAGAACTTAATAAAACATATGACTTCTTCGCTAAGTCAAAAACCGACTTATTCGCTCAGCAAAATAAAAGGCACTCTTCCGGCTGCAGACAAGGCTTCAGACACGGAAGAGACTAATTTCTCTCTTTTAACCGTAGCTGATAGTTTCTTTTGTCCCCTTTGAAGAATGAGTTCTCCCTCGAAGGAAAACAGAGAGCAAGGTCGGTCATATCTTCTCAAGCAAACATATTTGTTACTTGCAGCTCTACACCTTCTCTATTCAATATTTCTCCAATTGTTTATTTTTAAATTTTCATACATGCTATGCTCAAAACACCAATGTGCTATTTGACCGTCGATTTTGAACCAAGAGGAAACTCCCAGACAATCCACTTGCTTACCTTCATACTTGGATCAATTTTATTGGAATAGAAAACACACCATCTTCATTCTTTACATTATACTCGTCGTATTCAAATTAAACCATAAACAAACACTCATCTTCAATTTTGTTGGAATAGAGGAAATTATACACGAACTCTCAGTTTTGTTTAAATAGAAATTTAGGTCTTTAATTTGAGGACTTATTTAATAATTAATTGTTGTTTCTATCTCCAGAAATTATAGAAATTAGATGCCAATTATCTTTCGGAACAAGGAAAGTAAACAGACAGTATACAAACACGAGGGTTATTTGGTTTCGACATTATTCAGACTTCTCATTCAACACACCTTGTAAACAGTTTGTTATCTCAGTGTCACTTAATACAGATAAACAACTTAATACAGGTTAATGCATTCAGGACTTCATGGATAAAAAAGTAAACAGTCCCTAAGAGTCCCTCCCTGTTAATAAAGTTAGTTTCTACCTGATAATGTTAATGTTGGAAACAACATTAGAAGTTCTATTGAAGGGCAAAATGTGATTTCGAATTGATAAAAACAGTGATAGTCAATAGTAGATAACAAAAAGAAAAGAAATTTTGGTGATCATTTGGATAAGAACATGCAAAGTTGAGTGGGGCAGGATGAGTATCATTAAAAAACACATCAGACAATTCAGCATATTTAGTCAAACACTCCCAAAAGTTTACCTTTTTAAACGGACTCAATGCAAATTATCGTATTTGTCTGAATTCTATGATTTATTTAATGATCATACATCACATGGAAAGTAACAATTTTGTAAGTGCATGAGACAGCAGAGTATAACAAATTTACCTGTCACCAATATACTTGCCCTGAGTGAAATAGCCAATGAAAAGCTCATCAACAAGATTGTGTTGCTTATCTTGGCCCTGTTGCCCTGCAAAATATATGAGCCGGTGACTGTCCAGAGTATTTCCCCTGAAGCATAAACATCAAATGTGTGCATGCATAAGTAGTGTTCATCATCATAGTTCAAAAGGTTCATCAGAAAACAATATAAACTCACGTTAGTCCAGACATGTCATATTCTAGTCCAAGACCTTTGAAGACCTGCCCATTTGACATTAGACGTTATCAACAAACCAATGAAGACTCCCTGAATATTAAGACTTGGAGTTACTCCTTTGTCCTTAAATAATCGTCTTTTTTTCCTTTTTTCCTTTTCCCAAAATAATTGTGTTGTTTCCCTTTTGGCAGAAATATGTGGTTCATATCATTTTAGGTTTTTCTGCTCAAATCAAAACCACATTTTTTACTTTCAACCTCTTTATTAATAAGTTTGCGAAACAAACATGTCAATTATTTTGGGATGATGGTAGTGTATCCTAAAGATCGAACAGTCTGATGCTAACTTTATATTGATCAACACCAAGGGTGTGTGATTGATATTTATTTATTTAAATTTAATCATTTATTTATTTATTACACAAGGAAAATTAGAAACATCTGTTGATTATTGGAAAAGGAAGATAGAGAGGAAAATTCACCTCAGTCATCCTCAACCTAAGTTGTTCACTTCGAGTTCCAAACTTCTGCTTATAAAATTCTTTCTTGCTTACACCTTTTTTAGGTGCAGAAGGATTAAGTAAATACGGATGCCATTTAATCTGCAGAAGGATCAAGAGAAAAGGAATAAGCTCATTTACAGTTTTTTAGACTTCTCGCTTCATTAGATGGCTCTTAATCAATTAAGGATGAAACGACTTGGCACCCCAGACACAATCCAGGACCTGATTGGTAGAAGGAATTAATAAGAGACTTCAAAAATCAGTTTTTCATGGTTTTTTCAAATTTTCTAATCAATCATTTATTAATATTAAAATTAAAATTATTACAAACTCAGTGAGGTAAATTCCATTGAAAATTAACTTTAAGTTAATGTAAAATAAGAAAAGATTCAAAATTCATATTTTTCACTACTAAATATTACTCCGTAATTGTTTGCATCTTTCATATCCTAAATTGATACATAATCAATCTCTCATGCTCAAATGAAATCCAACTGTTGAAAAAAAAGAGTCAAAAGAAGAATCTGAAATGCACCTCAAAGTCATAGTGGTCCTTTGACGAGGCAATAGCTGTGTCCAGGTTTCTTTTCCCAACAAAGCACCATGGGCATACACTATCTGAACTAATATCAATATGAATAAGCTTCTTCTTCTTGCCACTACTATTAGCGACAGATGATTGAGCCATGAATCTAGTCCAGAATAAAACAACCAAATGGAATGGGTATCATACTCCTCTACAAGCTTAATAGTTAAATATTGCATATCTTTGTTGCAGAAACGCATCAATTTCTCAATTAAATCCAGACGAAAAGTCAAAACAATGAATACGCACATAATAATACGTTACATAAAGATGGAAAATCAAACACGGCTTCGCAATCGTGTTCGATTCCAAGATATGCGTATTGTTTCAGTCACGAAGCAGTAAAGTATTGGAATTTCGAAAAAATTATTGAGAGAATTTCCCAAATGGGACTAAAACTCGTTTAAAACTCTAAAGTGGGACATTAAGTTTTTTATTACCTAAATAGGACTTTTAATTACCGATCGGACATAATTGCCCTTTCTTAGTTCCGGCTGCAACAATTCACTTGTTGCGATGAAGGTCGTTTGCGAGTTGCGATGCACGGATGAACGGCTCCCCAGGTAAGTTTCTTCCGATCTTTTTCTTGTACTCATCTCTTAATTTCTTCTCAAGCTCCCTTGTTTTCTTCTTCTACATGTCTTCTATTTTCTTCTTCTTTTGGATTTCCAAGTTTTTATAATCCTGAGTAATTTATTTTTAAAAGATTCATATTATTGTTCTAATCACTTCAATCTGAAAAATGACATAGTTGATCTTTAATTGAACACTGATTTCTAATAATGTCACTTTCATGACATTACATTTGCTAAGGTGACAATTTCAAAGAAGAAAATGACATTTCCAGAGTAATAATGTCACTTTCATGACATTTTCAAAACAAAAGTGACATTTTCAGATTGTCATCCCAGTACATAAACTGTCACAAACGTGACATTTTTTCCAAATAACCAATAATTTTGACATTCTCGGATTATAAAAGTGACATTTTACTGAATAAATAAATTCAAATCCAAAAGGTCCAAATTAATAAATAAAATTCAAATCCAAAAAATTTAAAGAAGAGAACAGAGGACCAAAAATTTGAAGAGGATTAGAAGAAGAAGAAGAAGAAGAAGAAGAAGAAGAAGAAGAAGAAGAAGAAGAAGAAGAAGAAGAGGTGGAAGAAGAAGAAAGGAGGGGGAGGAGGATACCTATGGTCGATGGCGGAGCTACGGTGCGACGCCATAGCCGATGGCGGAGATGCAGTCCACAGGAGGAAGAGATGTGCAGGGCTGCTACGAAGAATTGCAGTCGATGGCGAGAATGCAGCGACGAGTGCAGAAGGGTTAGAGGCAATGTGGAGTCCCATTTAGGGATTAGTCGAAGAAGAATTGCAGTCGACGAAGAATTGCAGTCGATGGCGAGAATGCAGCGACGATTGATTTAGGGATTAGGGGCAAAAAGGTAATGTGGAGTCCCATTTAGGAAATTTAAAACTTGAAGTCCTATTTTGGAGTTTTAACCATGTTTTAGTCCCATTTAATATAATTTCTTTAAAAAAAATAACCTGAGAACTTGAAATTTCTGTAAAGACACCAAACGCATCAGAAGATAAAAGCACCAACCCTTAAATCACGGTTATATGCAAGTATGTAATGTAAATAAATACTAGTTTCAGAAAATTCTTCCCACTTTGATTTGTAGAATAAGAAAGTGGAATAAAGTGGAAATATGTGATTGTAGTTGTGTAAGAAAAAGATGAAATGAATGTGAACCACACAAATTATCCAAAAATGATAAGTGGGAGGAATTGTTTGGGACGGCCTAAAAAAGAAAGTGGGAAGAATTTTATAGGACGGATGGAGTAATTGTTCACCTAATTCACTTCAGACGCAGTACTTTGTTTATGAAATACTCCCGTCCGTTAACTTGCTCGCCTAAAGTAGAACAAAATAATACTCCCTCCGTCCCTATCATTTCTTCCATTTTTCCTTTTTGGGACGTCCCAATTAATTCTTCCAACTTCCACTTTTGAAAAAAATATGTGGTTCACATTCATTCACCTTTTTCTTACGCAACTACAACCATACATTTTCACTTTATTCCTACTACCTAAATTTGCGATACCGGTCAAAACCGGAAGAAATGACCGGGACGGAGGGAGTACTCCCTATTAAAATTGTTTCATTTTTGGGAAAATCTCATATATGCTCCATCAGTTATCCACGAAATTAAAATCTCACATCTGTATTTATGAGATTGTAAATGTCACCCCTCAATTGTCTAAAATGTTGTAAATTTGGTCCTTTTGAGGGGTGAAATATACAATGTGGGCGATAGTACATTTCACCACTTAAAGGATCACATTTACAACAATTTGGATAATTGAGAGGTGACATTTACAATCTCAGAAATACAGGTCTGAAATTTTAAATTTGTGGATAACCGAGGGACCATATATGCGATTTTCCCTTCATTTTTTTGTCCGTCTTATTAAAGTTATCTTATACTCCGTATCAAATTTGATAAATTTCGTGTATTTTTCAATCATTCTTATTTTAACAATTGAATATTAATCACATAAACTCAATTTTCTTAATAAGTGGAACACCTCCTCATGTCTCAATCTTACTCCTACTCTAAATACTAGGGGTGGGCATAACGGTTCGGTTTGACCGAACCGAATCGTACCAAACCGAATTAAACCAAACCGAAACTGAACCATTTGTAATTTGGTTTGAGTTTGGTAGTATTCTTCTCAACCCGTATTAAACCGAACCAAACCGAACCGAAATCATAAAACCGGATAAAACCGAATAAAACCGAACTAATATAAAAATGAAATAATTTCTTATTTTTTAAAAATAACAAATCAAAACCAACTTACACCAAACTAAAATATAAGATTTCTCTCATTAATTTGATCGATGTTAATCTTTTTGAAGTTTTAATACTTTAATTTTAGTGTCAAGGACTAGAGTTTACTACAAGACTTACATTCACAACTATAACAATTATAGTGGTTTAAGTAGATACTCTCTCCGTCCCGCTAACAATGGGACAAGAGGGAGTGACACGCAAATTAATAAAAAGTGGTTTATATTGTAACACCGACCCCGAGCATATTTACTTTTAGTAAATTATGTAATAAACCTTGAAAGATGATTTATGAATTTGCGTAATTGTAAATTTTTATTATTTCTTTTACGTGAATAGTAAATTGCATGTGGGGCCCACAGCGGGAACGGGGACCGCCCGATAATTCCCGAACCACATATTATATTCATCTTGGCCTAGATAATATGTATATGGTGGTGGATATTTTAATTGGGCCATAAGAAAGGCATGGGGTTGACCGGTGGGTAAAACGGGGCCCAATTACCGGTATTGGTAATTTAACGGATAACAGCCCGAAATGAGTTTCGGAGACTCCTAAATTAATGTTGGGGAATGTACATCGTTTCTAAAGGCCCATAATCATTAGGAACACGTGATATATTTTATTCGGCCCGATAAAATAAAATATAATTAAAACGGACCGAGAAATACAACTTTCGGGGCCGATTGTACACACCGGGACATAACGGGATGACCTCCCACCTAAGTGGGGGCCACCCCACGTTTTTAGGTGTGTTAGCTGACTAAACAACAGCTGGGGGGGACAAGCCAAAGTGACTTGTGCGGACAAGAAGAGGGGAGGAAGTCTCATTGAGACAAAACCTCATGCCAATGCCTATTCTAGGCATTATTGGCATTCTTGATTGAGGAGGAACCATCCCTCTTATCCTCTTGCATTCCACACGACCAACCATTAAGAGAGAGAGCTCTAGGAAAGCTCCTCACAGAGCTGAAGCTAGGAGAGAGCAAGAAAGGAAGAATCCCCACACAAAAGGGCTAGAAATCAAGGTAAGAACTCAAATAGTTCTTTTAACTAGTTTATTGTGTATGATTTATAATAAATCATATGATGGGTTAAACATGGTGTTCTACACGTTTAAAAGTGTAGAATATTGATGTAGAATGGTGGTATTTAACTTAGGAAAGTTGTGGAATCGATAGGAGTCGAAACCGCCGGGAAACCGCCATTGTTAGGGACTGTTTTCGAGCTGCAGACCCGAAAGCCGCCCACCTTTCACGAAAGCCGCCCGGCTTTCGCTTGATTCCCAGATTTGTCTCTCTTGAACGGCCTAGAACAAGGACGGATCGAGGGGGTTTCACTAAGGCAGCTAGTTGAGCACATCATAAGGTGAGGATGGCTGACTATATTGCTTATAATTAGTGAGTTAATTTAATGAGATTACCGAAGGTAATTAAATGTGTTTTTATGGATTATTAATGATTAATAATGCCTAAAAATGACAAGACTAAATGTCTAGAGAAAAAGGAGCATGATATACAAATTTAGGAATAAATTATGTATGTTCATGTGTTATGAGTATGTTGACTCGAAAGTGGAAATTATTATGAAACATGTGGTGAAATATACTTTTTCTTCATATTAGAATATATGAGTGATTAAAAGTGATATTTTGGATATTGAGATAAATGATATTTTCAAAGGAAAAATCAGTTGGGATTGTCTATATGACTATGAGTTGAAAACTTGGTTGTTGATATTAATTTGACTAGTATTAAGATACTAGTTGGACATTAAGATTAAATGTTGTTAAGATTGATCCTAAGGTTGGATTGTGAAATGTTATGCCTTAAGTAGTCTTAAGAGATGCTTTAAGGTAGGAAAGTATGAACTCTAAGTTATACTAGGGGTAGGCCTTAAGGGATACCCAAGATAAAGTAAATAATAAATTGATCTTAAGTATAGGATTGGCCTACGGGTGTGTTCGGTAGTCCTTGTGGATAGCCGGTTGAATTATGGAAATAGTAAGGACCATGGCCCTTCCCGACTCTAGAGAGCGGGGTTGGATAGCATGGACTTACATCGTGATCACGGGTTAGGGTGGAATCCGAATCGGAGACCTAACTAGGTTCCGGTAGCGGTAACACATAAGATAGGACCCCGAAGGGCCTTACCTTCCTACAGGATGATGGGTACGAGTCCAGGGGCGGGATGTTGGAGTCCGAACCGGGAGCCTCATGAGGTCTCGGACAGCGGTAGCAAGTCCCGTAGAAATAATAGGACCCAAGGGTTGGGTTGTGCAAACGATAAATGAAAAAGGATATATAAGAAGGGCCGTGTGCCGACAAATAAATAAATTTACTTATTATGAAGATAATAAGTGGGGAATATAAATTATTATTTATATTATGATATCACCCTATTTTGGGGGTCTTGGAAATTAAAACGTTGATTATACTTAGTATAGTTGCTATTGTACTTGTCAAATATTTCCAAGTACTGACCTCCCCTTCACGGGGGAGGCCACCTCACAGTTTCAGGTAGAACTTGAAGGTTGCTACCGG